TGATCTTGTGTTTGAGCTCTGAAATCGTTTGTTTTTAAAGGTAAAACATGGTGTTAAGAGGCAGGCTGAGAACATGGGCAGGCAGCGTTCCTGAGGAAGAAGTTCTGCATTGAAATCTGTTTTATTGCATCATTCTCACACTAAGATTTCAGGATCCTTGGTTAGGATTCCTCAAACACAGATGTGACTGACTCCTAAAGCAGCTTTGCACAGCTCAGGGGACATTGCCAGGCTAAAAATCTTAAAGATATATATTTTTTTTTTCCCTTAAGATCTCAAGATTATTTTTTTTACAGCTTGGGTCCTTCACTCTTCATGTTGTGTCAATTTTGTACTTTGCCCAGTGTGGACTGTGCTGCTGAGGCTGGCCTTGATCCGAGCTACCTTTAGGCTTAGACTATAAAACTGTCTTTTTCTAGGGCTTTAAACTTTGTTTAGTAGCTTTATAAATTCTTGAGACTTAATTTTTAACATCTCAAGATTATTTTTTTTACAGCTTGGGTCCTTCACTCTTCATGTTGTGTCAATTTTGTACTTTGCCCAGTGTGGACTGTGCTGCTGAGGCTGGCCTTGATCCGAGCTACCTTTAGGCTTAGACTATAAAACTGTCTTTTTCTAGGGCTTTAAACTTTGTTTAGTAGCTTTATAAATTCTTGAGACTTAATTTTTAAAAAAAAAAAAAAAAAAAAAGACCTACTTTGGGGTGTTTGAACTCTTTTGTGGCAGAGGAAATGTTGAGCTCCTGTCTCTGTGAGTGAAAAGAATGAAGATTTTTATATGAAAATGTTTTGGAAGAGCAGTGTAGAGCTCCACCTTGTTTAGATGGTGGGAGAGGCTCCAACGCTTTCATCTCCCATTATTTGACAGGTTATTGTTGATTAAATGTATTTAAGTTCTGTTTGAGAGGGTATTGTAAATGTCACTTATTTTTAAAATAAATGATCCTGCTGTGTGAACTTCATCTGCAGTGAGACTGTGCTGGCTGTGAGCTGATACTCCACGCTGACCTGGCTTTCTCCAGCCTTCTTGGATCCTTTGGAGCTGTGCAGATACTTTTATTATTATTATTATTATTATTATTTTTAGCTATGTTTTATGGTTCTTTTAACTGATTAGATGCTTGGAGCAGGAGGCAGGAAAAGACTTGGAGTAGAGGTGTGTGGAAAGCAGTGAGTAGCTGCTCAGTGCCTGTGCCTGCCTGTGTTACCTCTGCTGAACTTGGTGTAGCTGCACAGCCTCACGTAGTGTGAGTGTACTGCACACCTGATGAAGAAGCTGAGATGCTTTTCTAGTCTAGTTTATGTATTTTTTAATATATAAATACCTGGTATTTTTATTTTTTAATATATAAATACCTGGTATTGATTTGGTAGTCTTTAATTAGAACAGCAGGGAGCTGCAGGGGAAGGAGATGCTAATAGAGATCAGTTTGGGAAGAGCCAGGCAGCTGTGTGATCCTGATGTCTTCCATCTCTTGGTGGGGATTTATTTCTCCCAGCTGCACTACCTGTGCTCCCTGACCTGGGCTAGAAATGCTGTTAGATGTGTCTGAACAAAGTGAAAAGTGATGACAGAACAGACTGTCAGATGTGAGTCACCCACAGAGCTTCCCCAGGAAGGTGAGACCAGTGCAGGTGAGATCAGATTGAAGGGGCTGCTTTGAGAGCAGCTGTCTGGTGTCTGCTAGAGCTTTCTCGAGTGTTTCAACAGTGGCTGGAGTTGTAGAGAATCCTGGAGCCTTCAGGTGACTTGTAGTTTTCCAAGGACTAATGGAGTAAGTGTTCTGGTCTGTATCAGCCATAGTGTGGCCAGCAGGACCAGGGAAGTTCTCTTAACCCTGTACTGTGCATTGGTGAGGCCACAGCTCGTGTTGGGTTCAGTTTTGAAGGACATGGAGGTGCTGGAGCGTGTCCAGAGAAGGGTAACGGAGCTGGGGAAGGGTCTGGAGCACAAGTGTGCTGAGTTCCCAGCTGAGGGAACTGGGGGTGTTGAGCCTGGAGAAAAGGAGGCTGAGGGGAGACCTTCTGGCTCTGTCCAAGTCCCTTGGAGGAGGGTGGAGAGAGGTGGGGGTGGGTCTGTTCAACCAAGGACCAAGGGACAGGACAAGAGGAAATGGGCTCCAGTTGTGGCCAGGGCAGTTGAGATGGGATGTGAGGAAGAATTTCTTTGCTGAAAGGGTTCTGAGGCATTGGAAGGGGTTGCCCAGGGCAGTGGTGGAGCCCCCATCCCTGGAGGGATTGAAGAGTCGTGTAGACATAGTGCTGGTGTCAAGTTTATTTGACATAGAATAAATTTAAAATATTACACAGCATGAAGACAATATATACATCACTTTGTAGGCACGCTCCTGTACACGGGGAATGTTCTCACCACTCAAGATGAGAAGGGGCAGAGCCTCAGCACACCTGCATCATCATGGAGTTCACCATATTATCAAAAGCCCTAGAGAAGGAAATGAACAGAGAATGTTAAAGGAAGCAGCTAGTTCTGCAGAGCAGACTTCTTGTAGTAAAACCAGTGGCTAACAAAGCCTCTTACTGGTTAACAAGCTGCCTTTCCCTGAGCTGAAGAGATGGTTTCACTCTTTAACTGGAGCATGCTCTGTTGAGTAAATAATGGCTTTTAATTAAGCTGAAGCAAGAACAAGTCTTATCCTGACTGGGGACCTGCCTCAGCAATGTGTAGAAGTGGTTCTTCTCTAGGCAACAGGAACTCTCAATGTGATTAACATTCCCTGGGAGATTCCAGATGAGAAATGGGAGGTGCTGGTCCTCACATGTGAGGAACTACACGTGCTGAATGCCCATCTGTCCTTACCCAAGGATAAGCCCTGGAAAAGTGCAGTTCTTCACTCTAACCTGCTCCATCTATGTTCATGCTCATATTTACTTATGAAACAGGTAATTTTCTCCCCAATTAATTACTTTTCTTGAGCCAGTGTTTCTAACACCATTTCTGGAGTGAGTGGGAGTTCAGTGTAACTTCTGATGAGACAATCAAGAGTTTTCTGTTATGCAGGAATGGCCAAAAACAACACAGCTGCTCTCCTTTTCAGCAGCCAGAGCATGCACATCTGAACTGGTCAACCACAGGGGTTGTGCTTTTGGTCCTCTTACATCAGAGGTACCCTGCAAGTTCCAGAAAGATGACCAAGATAAGTGTGAGCAGATGACTTACCTGGAATGGATACGGTCCCCAGGGTTATAAAAAGGGTTACACATGATGTCTGTGTATGAATTATGCAGCTTTCGGAACATCTGAAAAGGGATTGTAGTTTAATTAATTAATTACTTTTTTTTTTTGCCTCTCAGCACTTTATGAATAAGTGGAAGTAGCAAAAACACTGATTATGTGGCAAGTTGTGCTCTGATTTCCTGCACTTACACTGCGGATCTCATTGTCTCGAAGCGCTGTGTTGGAAGAATCCACCACCATAACAAACTTCACCTTCGAATTGGTCACGTAGCCGTATCTGTGCAGCTGTTAAGGCACGAGCTTCTGACACGCCAGAGCTTGGCAAAGCAACTCAAACAAGGCTGGAATATGCTCAAAGAAACAAGTTGAAAGGAAACATCATGTTGGTGCTGTGCCCAGCACGTAACTGGGAGCAGATGAGGTAAACAAGACACTAGATTGCAAGAGCTGTATCCCCTTCCTACCTGACTTCTCCCATCTTTGGTAACTCCAGGTCAAGCTTGCTCCTACACTGGCTTGTAAGGAATGCCTTGAAATTTCAGAAGCATCCTCACAATAGCTATTTTGGTGAGGATTTAGAATCATAGGCTGGTTTGGATTGGAAGGGACCTTAAAGCTCATCCAGTCCCAACCCCCCTGCCAGCAGCAGGGACACCTTCCACTAG